CCTCTCAAAGTAGTTACCAGTGACATAAAGCTTCCAAGAAATCTTTATGAAAGCAGGCCTTCCTTACCAGGTCTCTGTTAACAAATACAGTGAAATCAATTCAAACTCCATTAACGCAGAATATTTGACAACCAAACTGAATAGGCATCTGCTTTTGTGGCTGGGATGGTGTTTGTGCTTCTCTGATATCACCTGCATAATATATGCTCAAAATTGTATGTTAATTAGTTTATTTAATTTGGAGGACTGGGCTAAAGCTTAAGTTTGGATTCATAATAGATCTTGTAAATTAATAATAGCATAGCATGGCTGCAGATCAGAGAGTGTTTAATTATTTTAATACAAAATATTATGTGCCAAGCCCTGTGGTCAGCACTTGTGTATACCTTTTCTCTTTTATCTTCACTACAACTCCCTCTGGGTGGCATTAGCTTTCTCATTTCTAAAACGGGAGTAATAAACTGTATAGAGGTGAAATAACTTGCCCACAGTTTTACAGTTATTAGTGGAGCCAGGAGTGAAACCTCAGTCTTTGTGATGGCAAAATCTGTACCGTTTCCACTCTGCCACTCCTAGAAAATAATGTGCATAATTATAGTTGTCTGCATACTGCCACCCCCTATGTAAAAATGCCACAGTCTCTTACTTGGACTAGAGCCATAGTCTCCAGCGATTTCTGCATGTGTGCCTGTCCACCTCTGTTCCTTTCTTCCCTCACTGTCAGAAATGATATTTTTAAGCTGCATGACTGACCATGTCACTCTGCTGTTCAAAACCCGTGTCTTAGCATAAAGACCAAAATCCTTATAGCGGTTACAGTGCTCCTCCACCTTATCTTGTTCTTCAGGCCCCTTCACGACCATGTCGTAATCCCGTTTTGTACGTGGCACCCTGTCTGTCACAGTAAGTCATGATTTCTGATTATCTGTTTGTGCGATAGTGAGGCATGCCTGTATCCCCACCAGACTGTTAGTCCATGAGGCAGGAACCACACCTGTATGGTTTGCCATTGAGTCCCCAGGACCCACCACAGTGCCCAGCACATAATTATGAAAACTAGGTTTTTTTTTAAGTCACTTATTACTATCTATTCTCACAGCCAAAATTAGTATTTTATTTTTCCTTATATTGAGACCTTAGGTGTGTAAAGACACAAATACAGAACAGATTTATTTTTAATAACTTTCATATGATTTTCAGATGTTTTACTTGTCTATAATCATAGGCCATTATTATTTCCTATGGTATATGCCTTATGCCAAGCATTTTACCGGCATCATCCCATTTAACCTTCATAGTCATCATCAGAGGGTAAGGACTGTTATCAGCCCTGCTTTTCTAAGATGAAGATCCAGAGAAGTCAAGTAATTTGACTGTTGATATATCTAAGATTCAATCCAAGGCTTGTGTGATTGTTCATGACTACGCCTTGTTGTGTCATTAGCAATTGAATGCATCCTTAGAAGACCCTGTTTCACTGTTGTCATTTCCTTGTCATGCACTCACTTAGCCAACAAATATTCATTAAGCTCCTATGATGTGTGAGGCCCTGTGACAGTGCTAGGGGTGCGAACAATTATCATGACAGGCAGTCTCTTTCTGTGGCATGTGCGATGCAGAGGCGGAAACAGATGACCAGCTGGCGGAAACAGATGACCAGCTGGTCTGTACAGAGAGTCCACAAATACTGTGATGGGGAAGAATAGGATTCTAAGGTGACACATAGGAGGAATACAAAACCTAGAGGCAGGGGATCCAGAAGACATCCTTGAAGAAATGGTATTGACACTAAGTTACGGTGGATGAGACATAGATACGAAGTAAATGAGGCCAGATCAAAAAGAACTTTGCAAGACATGTTGAAGGGTTTGGATTTCAAATTAATGAGAAGCTATTAAAGGACTTTCAGCAGCATACAAGTGACATGTCAGATTTGCAGTTCAGAAATATCACTCTGACTGCAGTGTGTAGGAAGAATTGGAATGGAGAAAGAATAAAGGCAAAAGAACTGATTTAGTCAACCAATAAGAGATCGTGAAGACAGCAATGGATGATGGAATTGGGTGATGCAAATAAGGGTCCATGGAAATGGAGGCGTTAAAGTGACATTTAAGAGATATATTCATAGGACTTGGTCACTGAGAGCATGTGGGATGTGAGGACCCAGGGATGAAATGCAGATTCTGGCTGGACCGGGGGGGGGACGGGGGCTAGTGCCATTCACTAGAGAAGGGAACCCCAGAGAAAGTGGGTTTGGAAGAGAAGAGGCGAGTATAGGCTGGACACGCAGAGGCTGAATTGCCTAAGGAACCTCCCTATGGGTCTGTTGGCCACTCCCGTGGACCTGTGTTATTCCGCTTGTGGGAATCCTGAGGGCCTCCCTGTGCTCTACAACGTCTCCTCAGGAGAGACCTAGCTGTCCAGACTATCTCCCTCCACCAGCAGCCATTTCCTGCCTTGTAGCCATCTCCCTCCTGTGCTCAAGTTCACAGTCCATATTCCTCTTCTCCAATGCCTGTTTCATGTGATCCATAGCCAGGATTCAGATCAGAATAGTTCAGTACCCCACTTCCTATGGTTACCTGGGCACAGATACCAACCAGGACGATGGGGGAGATCTCATCATCACTGCTCTCTTTGTATCCTGTACCCAGACATCCCCAAGGACTAGATCCAGAGGATTTGTAGATCAAACATATAGGGAATAATTATAGGAATACCAGCTCTTTCCCTCAAGAAAATTTAATTAATAAATAAATTCAACTTGTAATGCCATCTCCCTTGGAGTACCTCACCTGCTAAATTGAAAAATTGGATAAATAACATCAAGAAATACAAAGAACATCCTTGTTATGTGATATACAGAGAAGGTTGCAAAATTGGAATCACATCTGAATTCATCCAAATCTAATAAATATTTAAGTAATTCAGTTGGAAAGTGATTTGTGTTCCTCTGCTCCAAACCAGAGATATGCCAAAAAGTTTTCTTTTGACATGACTCACATTACTCACTTGTTCATGTATAATGTGTTGTACCCATGTACCAGGCACTACCACTTTTGATTTCATGCATTTTTCCATTTAATGAACACAATTCGCACTTTATAGATGAGGAAAGTGAGGCTGTAAGTCAAGGCTAAAAGGGTATGCACTTGTAGTAGAAGAGCTAGATGTGGACCTAGGTCTTTGGACTCCAAGTCCGGTGTTAATTACAACTTCAAGTCCAGGATCTCAATAGATGTTAGTTTTGTTTTTCAAATATAAGATCAGAAGTGAGCAAAGAGATAGGAGACTAAAACTTGAAAGTTGTTGGTGGAAAAGCATATGTGGTGTGTGTAGTTCTCAGGAATTAAAACATAAGTATATACTTCATTGAGAAAATCAACATATTTATTTTCAAACACCAAAGTGTAATGAAAAGTGAACCTTAAACTTGGTGAAGATGTGGAGAATCTGGAACTCTCACACTCCTGATGGGAGTGTAAAACACTACCACTACTTTGAAAAACACTTTGGAAGTTTCATAATTAAACATACACCTACCATACAACCTAGCCACTTTGTTTCTAAGTATTTACCAAAAGAAATGGAAGTATATGTCTATACAAAGATTTGTACATGATTGTTCATAGCAGCTTTATTCATAATAACCAATAACTGGAGCAGCACAAATGTCCGTCAACAGGTGAGTTGATAACCAAATGGTGGCATATCCATTTAACAGAATACCATTCAGCAGTAAAAAAAAAAAAGGAGCAAACTACTATCATGCAACAACATAGATGATTCTCAAAATAGTTACACTACATAAAAGAATACAGACCAAAAAAAGAGTACATATGGTATGATTCCAGCGATATAGAATTCTAGAAAATCGTGATGGAAAGCAGATCTGTGGTTGCCTGGAGTGGGGAGCAGGATGGATCAGAAGGTGCATGAGGAGACCTTTGGGGTTGATACACGTGTCCATCGTCTTGATTGTGGTGATGTTATCTGGGAATGTCATAACAAGACCTCGGGGTGAACAGGAAAGAAATAGAAATGGATTTCTTGACTATCCTAGTGAAAGTAACCATGACTTAAGTTACATGAGCTTACTAACAATGGAACCAAGAAACTGTTCTTGATCAGGTGAGTTAAGTGATCTGTGCCTTAGTTGTACTGCTGCATTGTAGAGATAACTTTTCCTTTTCCCCCGCCTGCCTTCCTGCTTACTTTAACTTTCCCTTTTTTCTTATTTCAAACCTCATACTACTAAAAATATGTAAATAAATGAAAATATTTTAAATGCTCAAATGCAGTTTTGATAGCCTTTCAAACACTAGAATTTAAGTGTTGGTTTTCTCTTTTCTTTATAAGGGGTCAGTGTATACAAGTGGGAAAATGCTTTAAAGCCACATAGACTTGTTAATTTTAATCACAAGTACTATATACTTCAGAGTTGCTAAGAAACTAGATCTTAAAAGTTCTCGCCACAAAAAAGAACTGATAATTATGGAACATGATGTGTTAGCTAACGCTATGGTGGTAATCATACTGCAATATAGAAATGTATCAAATCAATACAGAAATGTATCAAATCAACACCTGAAACTTACACAGTGTTATATACCAATTATATCTCAATATTTTAAAAAGCCAACTAGACCTGGATACAAATGCCAGGTGACTTCCCTTGGACCTTTGCCTTTGTCAGTTAACTTCCTTGATTCTCACATTCCTCACAGGTAAGTATTTCAAGGGTCTATTATGAAGAATAGAAATAACTCTCCACTGTGATGTTCAGGAAATCATTTGTTTGCTGTTTACACCTTGTACATCAGCCCTTTGAGATCCTGCGCTATGTGCCTTTACTGATGTCAACTCCTATAGTAGTGGAACACATACCGAAGCCTATGAGGCACCTTGACAAAACAGGACAGATGGTACATGTATAATAATGAATTTACCTTTCCATGCACTCTGGTCTGATGTGTCCACTCTGCTTTCATTGTATGTAGTGCACCTGGTGGACATTTGGAACGTCATAGAAGCTTTGAGGGAAAATGGTCTGAACAACGTGGACCCAAACATAGAACTCAACGTGGCCCGATTGGAGGCTGTGCTCTCCACCATTTTTTACCAGCTCAACAAAAGGATGCCAACCACTCACCAAATTCAGGTGGAGCAGTCCATCAGCCTCCTGCTAAACTTCCTGCTGGCCGCCTTTGATCCGTAAGCTCCCTCTGAATATCTGTGACTCGCTACATGTTCGGTCTCCCCTTCCTCTTGCGCTTCTTGGTCTTTATTCCAAAGAATTTTCTAGAGTAACCAACTGCTTCTTTTTTTCTTGGTCAGATACTTATCTCAATAAAGTTTCTATGTGTTTAATATAAATTTTAAATGCTTTGGAAATGACTTAGAGAGTAAAATAGCTCCATAGGAAGTGGAGGACAATTGTATTTTATGTGCTGACCTTTATTTAACTCATCCCACGCTTCCTAGAAGCTATGGACGCTTGGAAGCGTTGCGCGATAGGCCTGTGGAGCGATTTAATGAACCATGATGTGGGAGGATGTTTTTAACGCTCTCCTTTGCAAATTATCTAAGACAGTGCTTCTGAGGTGTCATAACAAGACCCCAGGGCAAACAGATGTTGAAAAGTGTTCCTTTCTTGACCAGCCTAGTAAAAGTGGCCGTGACTTGCATTAAATGGACTGGTCGATAATGTACCATGTAAAGCAACGTGATGCCATCCACACACCGTGACTGAAACTCAGCCTCATTATCTTATAACTTCCCCTCGCAGACTCAGGGAATTTCAGAACTGTCTGAGATCTTAAAGACCATTCTTCCAAACCTCTCATTTTACAGATGAAGGACCCGAAGTACAGAGAGACTGTCACTTGTCCAGTGACGATCGGCAGGTCCAGTGGCTCTCAGCATGATAGTGGCAGAGTGGGGATTTAGAGATTCAGCTTCAAATTTTTTTCCAAGACACATGTGGCAGCGCTGTGAGATGTAAAACCTCCCCTGAATCGCATTATCAGCCGAAAATTTCAAAGGGGGTTTTGCTGATGGCCCCTAGGCTAGATATAGGATCAGCACCTCCAATTTCACCCCTGGTTTTGAATATTAAGAAGGAAAATTGCTAGCTTGATCTTTCAGCAATCCCATTTTAAGAATCTCAGAAGACTTTGCTTAGTCTCGTTGTCTAGCCAATGCTTGGGAATATTTAAACCCAGCACTGGAGATGTTCCAGCCAGGCTAATGTTATTATGCTGCTCACAAAAGTCACCAGCTGTCACGTTGCGACCCAGCGTGGTGACAGAATTGTACGTGCTCAGTTTGACCAATATACATTATTGTCTCCATGTTAATATTTTGAGAAATTCTGAAGTTGAAATAAACAAGCAGTCCAGCCTGATAGATTCCATGCTTAGTCTGTGCAGCCTTCAGAAGTAATGTACTGCTTTGGGCTAATCACTGTGGTAGCCAAGCGACAGGGCTGGAAGAGGAAGATGTGGTTCCACATGACAGGTGGCAGAGTGGAACCAAGCCGTGGAATTTCAATAACAGCATTTCTGTCGTGTCCCCTTAACAAGATCATGGCAGCTTTCAGACCTGTTACTGAAGTCTTCAGGAGCTTTATTTGTTATAACAATGGAAAATGTAAATAGAATTTCCTGCTACATCTTGGGGTATTTCTAGAGGATTCAAAGCTTTGATAAGGAATCAAAGCTAAAAAATAATTTGGGGGCTTCCCTGGTGGCGCAGTGGTTGAGAGTCCGCCTGCCGATGCAGGGGACATGGGTTCGTGCCCCAGCGGAGCGGCTGGGCCCGTGAGCCATGGCCGCTGGGCCTGCGCGTCCGGAGCCTGTGCTCCACAACGGGAGAGGCCACAGCAGTGAGAGGCCCGCCTACCGCAAAAAAATAATAATAATAATAATAATTTGGACCAACTCTGTAAATACAGAAATGGGGCCAAATTAACAATAAGTTTGGGGTATTTTGTGAAACAGATGGGGCTTAACCTAATAGATTTTTCACTTTTTTTTGGAAATATTGGGAAGAGCATTTCAAAAAACAGAGCTGTAAATGTTCTCTAAATAGCTATGATAATGTAGCTGAATCATTGCAAGATTGTTGGATGCTAAGCTTAAGGATTATACCAAGGTAAAGAGTAGTTCACTTTTCTCCACACCCTCTCCAGCATTTATTGTTTCTAGATTTTTTGATGACGGCCATTCTGACCGGTGTGAGATGATATCTCATTGTAGTTTTGATTTGCATTTCTCTAATGATTAACGATGCTGAGCATTCTTTCATGTGTTTGTTGGCAATCTTTATATCTTCTTTGGAGAAATGTCTATTTAGGTCATCTGCCCATTTTTGGATTGGGTTGTTTGTTTTTTTGTTATTGAGCTGCATGAGCTGCTTGTAAATCTTGGAGATTAATCCTTTGTCAGTTGCTTCATTTGCAAATATTTTCTCCCATTCTGAGGGTTGTCTTTTTGTCTAGTTTATGGTTTCCTTTGCTGTGCAAAAGGTTGCACTGTTCGTGGGAATGTAAACTGATACAGCCACTATGGAGAACAGTATGGAGGTTCCTTAAAAAACTAAAAATAGAACTACCATATGACCCAGCAATCCCACTACTGGGCATATACCCTGAGAAAACCATAATTCAAAAAGAGTCATGGGGGCTTCCCTGGTGGCGCAGTGGTTGAGAGTCCGCCTGCCGATGCAGGGGACACGGGTTCGTGCCCTGGTCCAGGAGGATCCCACATGCCGCAGGGCGGCTGGGCCCATGGGCCATGGCCGCTGAGCCTGCGCGTCCGGAGCCTGCGCGTCCGAAGCCTGCGCGTTCAGAGCCTGTGCTCCGCAACGGGAGAGGCCACAGCAGTGAGAGGCCCGCGTACCACAAAAAAAAAAAAAAAGTCATGTACCAAAATGTTCATTGCAGCTCTATTTACAATAGCGAGGACATGGAAGCAACCTAAGTGTCCATCATCGGATGAATGGATAAAGAAGATGTAGCACATATATACAATGGAATGTTACTCAGCCATAAAAAGAAATGAAATAGAGATATTTGTAGTGAGGCGTATGGACCTAGAGTCTGTCATACAGAGTGAAGTAAGTCAGAAAGAGAAAAACAAATACTCTATGCTAACACATATATATGGAATATACGAAAAAAAATGTCATGAAGAACCTAGGGGTAAGACGGGAATAAAGACACAGACCTACTAGAGAATGGACTTGAGGATATGGGGAGGGGGAAGGGTAAGCTGTGACAAAGTGAGAGAGTGGCATAGACATATATACACTACCAAACGTAAAATAGATAGCTAGTGGGAAGCAGCCACATAGCACAGGGAGATCAGCTCGGTGGTTTGTGACCACCTAGAGGGGTGGGATAGGGAGGATGGGAGGGAGGGAGACGCAAGAGGGAAGAGATATGGGGATATATGTATATGTATAACTGATTCACTTTGTTATAAAGCAGAAACTAACACACCATTGTAAAGCAATTTTACTCCAATAAAGATGTTAAAAAAAAAAAGAGTAGTTCACAGAAATATTCAGAAGAAATGTTTGATTCCTAATCTTCTTACAGATAGGAAGGCCCCTGATGTATTCTTTCAGTAATCTCATTGTGGTAGATTTAGAAACACATCCACCCAAAGAAATCTCATTGTAGAGATTCACAGACACATCCACATAGAGACCCCGGTCTGCAGGTGCTTCCGCCTGCTCTCCTTTGGCAGAGCAAACGAATACAGGCAGTTCTGCTGAAAAACAACTTTTCTGTCTGATGGATTTTGAAATTTTAGACAATGTGAGAGGTGAGCCGTCAGGAAGTCCCAGTACCTGGAAATACAATTTAGAAGTGAATATAAGAATAGAAACAAGAATAAAATGACTGTTCAATTCTATCTCTTATAATAGTAAACTTCTAATTATCCAATTGAGATCCAGTATGGAAATCTGATGTCACTTCCTACTACCTATCCCATAATACCCAAACATTTATTTTTTATTGAAGTATAGTTGATTTACAGTGTTGTGTTCATTTCTGCTGTACAGCAAAGTGACTCAGTTATGCATATACACACATTCTTTTTCATGTTCTTTTCCATTATGGTTTATCATAGGATGCGGAACACAGTTCCCTGTGCTTTACAGTAGGACCTTGTTGTTTATCCATTCTATATATAATAGCTTACATCTGCTAATCCCAACCTCCCACTCCATCCCCCTCCCGGCCCCCTCCCCCTTGGCAACCACAAGTCTGTTCTCTATGTCCATGAGTCTGTTTCTGTTTGTAGATAGGTTAATTTGTGTCATATTTTAGATTCCACATATAAATGATATCATGTGGTATTTGTCTTTCTCCTTCTGACTTACTTCACTTAGTATGATAATCTCTACTTGTATCCATGTTGCTGCAAATGGCATTAATTTGCAGAACCCAAGTATTTAAGGGAGCCTTCTGTATTTTGGTAGACATGAATGAGCCTGATACTGGTAGATCAATGATGTGCTCTTGCTATTACAAAATCACTGAAACATTTAGGAGATTTTCCCCTCATTTACTGTATTTTAAATGGACATACTAAAAGAAAAAGAGAGGAAAAATCCAAAATAAAAGAGTTAGAGATGCCTTAACAACCTGGACTCTAAAGAGGTAATGTAAAAAAAAAAAAAATTTAAAGGAAAGACAGTAATTTAAACCCATGAAGAATGAGAACTTGCATTCATAGAAATATGTCCATTAGTTTGCTTGTGCCTTAAAGTTCACCAGCCCCAGCCAGTTGAACTCTGCCAAGAAATAGTGACCTGAAATGAGGATCAAGGTCCACTTGACTTGGATGCATCCCTGAGAACCAGACTCACTTTCCCACAACCATAGTTCCCCAAGAGTAGCACCCTCCTGTTCCTCTCCCCGCCAGAATCCCTGGATCTCAGTTCTCATGCAGGCATGCTTGCCACAGGCTCTGGTCAGTTTCCCGGTTGTGAGGTGTCTCTGCTCTTTGGCCAAGTCAGCCTCAAGATACAATACATCACTACATACATAGGATGATTCGTAGACTGTCAAGAGCTAGCATTTGCCTCCAATGGCCTATGGCATGCTTGCCGTCCTGTCACTGAATAGGCAGCCCTTTCAGAAAGTTTCTGTCTTGATCACTTTCCTTCTAAAAATGGATACTTGGGGGCTTCCCTGTGGT